AGTCAGTGGGGGTGGGGTTGGTGTAGTGGGTAGGAGCGCGGACTCTAATCTGGGAGAACCGGGTTTGATTCCCCACTCCTCCACTTGCACCTGGCTGGATGACGTTGGGCAAGCTGTAGTTCTGTCACAGGTGTTCTTGAGAAAGAGCAGTTTGTGTTAGAGCTCTCTCAGCCTCTCCTACCTCACAGGGTGTCTGTTGTGAGGAGGGGAAGGGAAAGGAGTTTGTAAGCCGCTCTGAGACTCCTTTGGGTAGTGAAGGGCGGGGTATAAATCCAATCTCCTCCTCTTCTTCTTCACAGTGGATTGAAGGCCTCTGTAATAGACACCCCTTTGGAGCAGATTTGTAGCATCTCCGGGACATTACCATTGTAGTTTATGCTCAGAAGGAAGTAATGTGTTAATGCCCGTCCCTCGAGCTGGTATTGTTAGGTATCAGATTGGCTAAGATGTCTCTTGGTGCTCTCCTGCCTTGCAGGGGTGGCCTGCAGCAAGTAGTTCCACAAGTTAACAGTGCCCCAAAGTTGAGCTGTCAAGCTCTTAAGGGGAATTCACACTCAGAGATCGAATTGCACAGCTGCCCGTGTCTGAGAGAGGGGGATCCGGACCCCTCCGAGAGAGGAGCAAGATCATGCACAACTGGGAGAATTCCCACTCACCCTGAAATTCACAGAAACAAGTTCTGAATGAAAGCATAGTTTATTCTGCGACAGGCCGATAACAAGCAGTTAACAAAACCCACTTAGCCTTCCAAAGATGAGAGAACAAAGGAGCAGAGAGACACACACACACACACGCACAGGTACACCTGACAGCGCACTACAAAGCCACAGCCAACAGAATCTCCTCAGGATGAGAAGAAGCCACAGCCGACAGACTCTCCTCAGGATGAGAAGAAGTTGACCATTTGCTGATCTCTTGGACTCCCTCTTATACCATGTTCGAAACAACAGCCCTGTGGTGCCACATCACGTCATCATGAACATGCGTAGTTACATGTTCTGTGCATGTTGCCATTGTTCCTGATGGACAGGACTGAGTGGACCCTCCTTCGGTTCTTATCTGGACTTCAGTGACTGTATGTCCTCATTGGGCGTACCTGGGGGTGGTCTTTATTCTCTGTAACAAGCAACCTTCGAGGGCCGTAAGCCAGTCTCCTGGCTGTCTCCAGCCAGCGCAAGGAGGAAGGTATGCTTGTTTCTGAGAGAGAAGGCAGGCTTTGCGCTTCTTAGAAAGACAGAGAGGCCTAGAGGATTCTAAAATGGCTTCACTTTGGTCAATAGAGAAGCCTAAGAAAACTGGCGGAAACCGCTCAGAAACTGCCGGGAAATGGCTCAGGAGCACAGGGTTGGCTTTCGTTATCTGTTGGTGTCAGGATCTGGGCTGTGCCACCAGAGGCCTGCTAGGCCCAGGGAGCCTGGCTAGCCGTAGGTGAGGCTGGGCCTACAACTCCCAGAAGCCCCTGAGAGGTTTTGGAGCCAAGATTGACCAATAGGAAAACAGGAGGGCTTGGAATAAAAGATCTGGAGCAGCAGGGAAAGCTGTTCTTCCCAGAGGGCAGGGCCAGAAGGGACTGAGCCTGCTTTAGGGAAGAGACCCTCATCCTGAGGGAAGGGTGAGTAGTCTAAGGCCACTTGGAATAGTGAGCTAGGGACAGTATATATTTAGACGCGTTAGGGCATTTTATTTCTTTTCACCCACTTACTGTTATATTTCTGCACCTTGTTTGTTTGACCTCTTATAAAATAAACTATTTTCATTGTTCACTCTGCCTGGCCCTCACGCCTATTATTCGGCCAAAAGGGAGGTGCTCTGGGCCTTCTCAGAGGAGCCTGGAACCAGAGTGGTGGCAGCGTCAGGTGACACCCCACCTGAGCCGTGACGGTCAGTATGGACGGTTTCAGTGAAGTGTAACGACAGAAGCCACGTCACGTCTTTTATTAAGGCGAACCAACCTAAATACAGTGAGTCCTCCAGAATTCTTCATCCAAGAAGTTCTTTCAAGGGCCGTAATCTTAAAGACCCTTTGTGAGTGTCCCAGGTAGATTGTGCAGATTACATGGGGGGGGGGGGAGCCAGAGTCGTTTGAGAGCTGGAGGTGCAGCTAAAAGAATAACCGCTTGTGAGGTGACAAGGCGAGGTGTCAAAGGCTGCCCGCTCGCGAAGTGGCTGAGATAGATTTGCATTATGTGGAGCCCGAGACCACCTCCTTCTGTTTCGTTTCAGAAAAGATCTTCTCGTCCCTCATCCCCAAGTGTGAAAAGTGTCAGAGTGTGGTGAAGCCAGGTGAGAGTGGCCCTTTTGGAAAGTCTCCCTCCTCCCCCCAATCCCCACCCCTCCTTCATTCTTCAAGTGCATCTGAAGGTCTTTGGTTGTAGGGCAGGGGTCCCCAACCTTTTTTTAGCCTACGGGCAACCTTTGGAATCCTAACCCAGGTGGTGGGCGCAGTCACAAAATGGCTGTCGCGGGAGCCAACCACAAAATGGCTGCCACGAGAGACAGATCCAACCGCAAAACGTCAGGGAGGAGAGAAGTTGTGCATGACTCGAATAGTAACTCTCCAGCATTTCAGGCGGAAGCTCTGCTTAACAGGAGGCCTTTTAAAATGAAGATATTGTTCAAAAATATTTTCTTGTTAACGCGTAGCTTCCCTTCAGAACAAAGTCTGAGTCCGGAGGCACCTTGAAGACCAACAACGTTTTATTCAAGGTGTAATCTTTCGTGCGCACTGGGTCATCAGACCCAGTGAAAATGATGAAGTGTGCACGTACACGAAAGCTTACCCCTTGAATAAAAGTTTGTTGGTCTTCAAGGTGCCGCCGGACTCAAACTTTGTTCTGCTGCTTCAGACCAACTTGGGTACTCTCCGGATTCTAGCTTACCTTCAGTCACCCAGTGAAGATCCTTGTGCCGTGGTGGGAGCTGCTGCCCAAAGTATTTATTTATTTATTTCATTACATTTTTATCCCGCCCTCCCTGCAAGCGGCTCACATTTATCAGGAGCACGTGCCGAGTCAGCATAAAATATTCAAAACAAATTAAAACAATCACACCATAAACAGATAACAAGCTAACAAGTTAGTGCTCGCCGTGGTGGTCGTCCCTGCAGTAGTTTAAGAGTGGCAGTTATAAAAAGTTGTTCTAAAATCCCGATTCAGTGGTATTCCGGCCTCCCACACACTGTGGCTCGATCTCCATGCAGGGCCAACCCTCCACCATAGACGTTACTACTAATAATAGTTGGCGGTAGTGGTGGTGGGCGGCTCCTACTTGAAAGCCTGGTGGAAGAGCTCCGTCTTGCAGGCCCTGCAGAACTGTACAAGGTCCCGCAGGGCCCTGATCTCTCCTTGGAGCTCATTCTACCAGGAAGGAGGTGCCACCGAAAAGGCCCTGGCCCTAGTAACAGCGAGCCTGACCTCCTTAGGGCCTGGAATAATTAACCGATGTTGTGACCCCGACCGTAGTGCTCTCTGGGGTCTGTATGGGGAAAGGCGGTCCCTCAGGTATGTCGGACCCTGGCCATATAGGGCTTTAAAGGTAAGTACCAGCACCTTGAAGCGAATTCGGTGTGCCATTGACAGCCAGTGCAGCGCCTTCGACACCGGTCAGATGTGCTCCCATCCTGAATCGGCACAGCCAGTCAGAAGCCCTGCCGGGCAAGAGCCCCACCCAGCCACATTCACTTTTTAAAAACACTTGGGAGGCACCAAGGGAGGCGCCCGTGAACGCCATGCCGCTCGTGGGTGCCACGTTGGGGATCCCTGGTTTATGGGCTGCTTCACGCATGCATACCAGTTGATCCCTTGGCAGCTAGTGGCTGGAAGCGAGTGAGAGAGCCCTTTTCCACCCAGCCTCACAATGAGCATGTGAAAACAGACCTTATCAGCTTGCTAGTCAGGGAGGGGCAAGAAGTCTGCAGGGCCCCCCGAAGCTCCTCCTCCAAGCACTGAAAGTCTTCTCTGGATTTCCCCCCTGCTTTCGGCAACTTCACTTGCGTATCTTGAAGCACGTTTTCTCAGCTGTAAGGATGAGACATTTGCATGTGCCTGTGCGCTATATATATTTTAACGAAAACTGAGTGCTTTGCTCCCCTGGAATCACAGCACAGGTGCGTCCCTGACCAGTGGATATGTGTCTCTTTACACAGATATTGTCTTCTTCGGGGAGAACCTGCCTTCCCGTTTCTTCTCTCTGATGCAGTCGGTAAGTGCCCCTCTTGCCTTGCCCCTCCGTGGTTGCAGGGCTCCTGCAGCCATAAGCGTGCTTGCCTGCCTTTGGATCATCGTGTTGCCGATAAGGCATGTGGTACAGTGGAGACCGGATCTTTGGTAAACCTCTGTGGTTTTATGGTTTCATTTCTTTTTAGTGCCATTTAATTTGATTGTACTTGTTCCTCACAAGGCACAAAGGGGTAATGTGGACTTTAAAAATAGGGCAAAGAAGAGATTGGATTTATACCCCGCCCATCACTACCCAAAGGAGTCTCAGAGCGGCTAACAAACTCCTTTCCCTTCCCCTCCCCACAACAGACACCCTGTGAGGGAGGTGGGGCTGAGAGAGCTCTGACAGAAACTGCTCTTTTTCAAGAACAGCTGTGCCAGAACTATGGCTTGCCCAAGGTCATCCAGCAGGTGCAAGTGGAGGAGCGGGGAATCAAACCCGGTTCTCCCAGATTAGAGTCCGCTGCACTTAACCACTACATCAAACTGGCTCTCCAAGAAGGGCAGGAGGGTGCATTTGGTGGTCCAGTAGAGCTAGCCCGATCATGTCAGATCTCAGAAGCTACGCAGGGTTGGCTCTGGCTAGTATTTGGATGGGCAACCTGCAAGGAATACCAGGGTCATGACGCAGAAGCAGGCAATGGCAAACCACCTCTGAAATGTCTCTTTTCTTGAAAACCCTATGGGGGTCTCCATAAATCAGCCGTGACTTGACGGCAGGGGGGGGGGATCAGCAGCTGTGAGAAGCTCCCCCCCCCCCAGCAATCTTACAGCAAATGAAGGGGACAAAAATGATGTCAGCCACTTCGGAGTCAGGCCACCCAGTGATCCAGTTGGCTGGAATCACCCACGTGACCAGTCCAGGAAGCACTGCCCTCATTCCTGATCAGCTTTGTGTTTTCCCTCAGCGGTGCCATCGCGTAGCCAGATCCGATTGGCTGTGTAGCGCTGTGACATCAGCACATTCACTGTTTGATTCCTGATGGGCTGAGATTATGTCACAAAGCCCTTCCCGAGGGGGGGGGGGGGGAATGGCACTGCAGCAGATTAGGGAGCAGGCAGGAGCAAAGACCAGGATTCAGAGAGGCCGAGAACAGCGGGCACTTTACTCTCCCATCCCCATAAATGCGCCTTTCGTGGAGCTTACGGGGTGTTCTTCCACGCAGCCCCGTAACTCTCAGCCAGCTCTTGCATAGTGCAGTGTAGCGCAGGTACAGTTTACTTCCCTTTTGTGGTCAGAAATTGCTTGGTGTTCAGGGGAACACAACCACTTAATGCCCTGGGTTCCCACCTTAAGACCTGAGTGGGTTCCCTCTTTCCTGGGCAATTGCCAACTGCCAAAACTGCCTCCTGGGGTTTTGAAACCACAAGCTGCTCTGCAAACTCTAATGAATACAAGCATGCTGGAACTGAGCTTTACCATGGCAAAATCCCAAGCGTGGCTCTGAAGTCTGAAAAAGGTCTGCAGTGCATCAGCTGGTGTGCTGTTTGCTTTAACCGCTGCTGCGTGTTCTTCTCTTGTAGCTGTTTTAAAAACATTTCTATCTTGCCCATCTGTCCAAAAACACAGCCTTGGGGACAGGTGGTGATAAGACACATGCCAACAAGGGGGGCCCATCAGTTTGGTGCCAGTTTGGCATAGTGGTTAAGTGCACGGACTCTAATCTGGGACAACCGGGTTTGATTCCCCACTCCTCCACTTGCAGCTGCTGGATGACCTTGGGCAAGCCATAGTTCTGTCAGAGCTGTTCTTGAAAAAGAGCAGTTTCTGTCAGCGCTCTCTCAGCCCCACCTACCTCACAGGCAATGGTTCCTCTAAGCTGTGGAATCTTGTGAGCAAAAATTCTACCTTTGTGAGCTACTGGCATTAAAGTTGTGAGCAAGCGATTTGGCTGTTGCACGAATTAGTTTGCTCTGGAGCCCTCCTTCCTGAGCTAAGACAAAAATGTGTGAGTCAGAGGCTGGAAAACTGTGAGCTAGCTCACACTGACTCTGCTTAGGGGGAACACTGCTCACAGGGTGTCTGTTGTGGGGAAAGGAAGGGAAAAGAGTATGTAAGCTGCTCTGAGACTCCGAGTGAAGGACGGGGAATAGATCCAATCTTCTCCTCTTCTTCTCCTCCTTCTTAACAACACTGTTGAAAACTGGATCTGGTAAATCCATTTTGCAAATGGCAGAACAGCAGGGCTTTCCCCTGGTGCAAGGGATCTTCCCTCCATGGAGTGTATCCGCAGGCCCTAACTCAAGGCCACTTAAAAACCAGCATGGTGAAAACTAACACTGTCTGAAACCAGAATAATTAAAAGACAGGAAGAGACCAGCCTGTCAGGTAGCCCTGTCAGTGGTCTGGAATGTGGAGGGGTGCCCTCCTTTTGACTCTCCGCTCTCTCTGGCTCATCAACTGTTTGCTATCTCATGCTTGACCTTGTAGCCGCTCCAGCTGTAGCTTACTTGGCTGGGAAGGTTAACGGCTTTTTGGCTTGGCCCGCCTGGGCAAGATATATCCATTGGCTCATGCTTACAGGGGGGGATGTTTGATTTTACTATAAGTCAGAGGCTCTAGTACTGATGGGCCATTCCTGACACAAGCTGTACACGTGTTCATTAGTGCTGGACTCATCAATAAACAGTTATCTTCTTATGAAGCCCTGTGTGGTGTGACCTGAGTATCTCAGCAAAAAAATGATAGTTGGTAAGAGGCATTGGAGCCCCAAAATGCAGGCCAGGCCATGGAGTGATTTTTTTGGAGAGTGGGAGGGGCTTGAGCTCAGGCTGGGCAGTGTTTGTGTCTGGTCCCTTTGCATCAGCTTCTGTTTTTCCCCTCCTCCCCTTCCCATGCAGGATTTCCGCAACGTGGATTTGCTGATCATCATGGGCACCTCCCTTCAGGTCCAGCCCTTTGCTTCCCTCGTTGGCAGGTAGGTGTCGTGGTTAAGAGCGCGGACTCTGATCTGGGAGGACCGGGTTTGATTCCTCACTCCTCCACTCGCAGCTGCTGGGTGACCTTGGGCAAGCCCTTGTTCTGATAAGAGCTGTTCTTGGGAAAAAAGAGCCATTTCTGTCAGAGCTTCTCAGCCCCACCTGCCTCACAGGGTGTCTGTTGTGGGGGGGGGGAAGGAGTGTGTAAGCCACTCTGAGACTCTCTCGGGTAGTGAAAGGCGGGGTATAAATCCAATCTCTCCTCTTCTTCTTCTTAATGGCTTGCAGGTGCTGAAGCCAGCGGTGAGGGAGGATCCCGGCCTTTTCAGGAGTTGCTGGCATTCTCATGCTTTTGCTTTTCTCTTATCCGTTCCAGGGTGCCCACAAACGCTCCCCGGCTCTTGATCAATAAAGAGAAGACTGGGGAGGTAAGACCTGGCTTGGTGCCTTGGAACACAGCAGCTCAGTTTCTGGGCAAAAAAAGGGGGGTTTTTTGATGAACTGAGAGGGGTCGTTTCCAATCAGCGTGAGAAGGATATTTTCCCCACTTCTTCCTACTACTCTGTGGTTTTAAAAGAAGGCTGGGAGAAGCATGCCAGCAAGGTTGAAGATGGGTTTGTGTTTGTTTGTTTTTTGCCACCAATGCTCTCTAAGCTGTGGAGTCCTGTGAGCAAAAATTCTGCTTTGTGAGCTGTCGGCATCAAAGTGGTGAGCGAGCGATTTGGCTGCTGCATAAATTAGTTTGCTCTGGAGCCCTCCTTCCTGAGCGGAGACAAAAATCTGTGAGCCGTAGGCTAAAATAACGTGAGCTGGCTCACACTAACTCAGCTTAGAGGGAGCACCGGTTGCCACTCCTCCATGCCTTCGTCCCTTTTGGGGGGAAAGCAGGGAATCTGCGCAGGCCCTGAGCCAGTCCGGCTGCCAGGGAACCGGTGTTTGCGTTGCCCATTGCTGAGGGTGGGACTCCTTTTTTGTGTTTCACAAAACTGTACCCCCCCCCCGGACTAAGACCTCAGGGTCACTTGACCGAGTCCCGAGTGAGGATAGACTCGAGGCTTCTCGTGAGGACACTGAAGGGCACCTGAAGTTGGCCTTCCTGGCCCTCTGTCCCTGTCCCTCATAGGCTGCTGCCTGGAGCCACGGAGGGCATCATCTCTCCCTATGTCTTGCCCCCCAAACACACACACACACACACACACACACACGATTTTCCCCTGTTCCATCGTAGCCTCACAGCAACCTTGTGAAGTAGCTTAAACTGAGATGGGCCACAGTTCAGTTCCCGGCGGAGTGAGATTGTCTTTTAAGCCGGGCTTTCCCCAGACCCTTTGACCTGGGTGCCAGGCCTTGCTTCGGTGTCCATTACGGGAGCAGCCCTCTGCAGCCGAGCGTGTTCTCCCGGCTCTCGGAAGCTTCCGCTCATGCAAGAGCAGCGCCTTTCAGTGAAATGAAAATCTCTAGCGCCAGAAAGGGAGGGAGGGGGGGAAATGCACAGCAGAGGATGTGGGTGGAAATGGAGGCTGCGCTGCTCGGCTGGCTTCACCACACCGGCTCTCTCTCTCCTCTCTGTTTGGTGGCAGAGCGACCCTCTCATGTCCCTGATGGGCTTCGGATGCGGGATGGACTTTGATTCCGAGAAGGCGTACAGGCAAGTCCCCGTGGGGTCCGGAGCCAGAGAGGGACAGGCGGCTGAGCCACAGATCCCACTGTGGGACACAGAGTTATTAAAGAAGGGGGACTGAGAGAAGTGGGGAAGAGCTGAGGCTAGGGAAGACAGAGTCTGGGGACTTGGATCGATCTCAGGAACCAGCGTGGGCCTTTAGCCGTCCCCCGTTGCAGGAGATTGATGCAAGTTCAGGTGGAAAAGCAATTTGCAAGCCACACTCTATGTATTGTTGCTGAAGGGTAGGGGCCATAACACTTCCCTTTAAAGGAACACTTCCCTTTAAAGGAACACTTCCCTTTAAAGGAACACTTCCCTTTAAAGGAACACTTCCCTTTAAAGGAACACTTCCCTTTAAAGGAACACTTCCCTTTAAAGGAACACTTCCCTTTAAACATTTACCCTGAAACTGGCCTCAGTGAGATCCCGAACTCGTCTAAACGCTAAAACTAGGCACCATTTAAACATTGTTTTTAATAACGCGGTGGCGGACTTCCGCCTAGGCGAACACCGCCAATGCTTAAAAAAAATGGTGGGCGAAAAGCGGAAGCCTCGGGCAGCTTTCGAGCGGGAAGGGGGTTTAAACCGGAATTGGCTCGACACCGCAGGAGTGATCAGATGTCAGAAAAGTGCGGCTGGAACCAGAGAGGAAACATACCACTTGGGGACCTGATATCAAAATACTCCGGGTTAAAGCAGTTTTGAGCCGGAATGCGACAGCTGGGGACGGGAGGCAGATGTTGACTGTGTGATCGCGCAGATTTATTTATTTATTTATTAAATTTGTATCCCGCCCTCCCCAAACGGGCTCAGGGCGGCTAACAAAAGAGCCATATGCCATAATTGAACGGCTAAAAACATAATAAAACAAAAAATAAAATCCATTTCTGAGGCGGGCCGAAAGCGGACTAAACGGCCCGTCTGTGTAGACGTGTGTCTCTTCAGGCCTTCCTCTGCATCTACTGGCCCATCTTACGGGGCTCTAGAAAGGATTCCAGAGCTCAAGTGTGTGAATTGGTTTGCGTGCTCCATATCCAGTTCTGGCTGTGTAGCTGTCATGATCTGTGCAGGACTGGGAGACGGGGCCTGGTTCGGCCTTGTCCCAGGAGAGACTTGCATGGCAGTGGAAAGCAGACACAGCCTACAATCCCCACAATGCTTGACGATGGTTGTAACCAATCAGTGTCCAGGGATTCCTGAGGTGATGGTTACATACTTTGTGGGCTGTGGAGAACTGCGTTCTTTCCCCTCAGAGAGCTAAACTGAAGGGGACTGTGTTCTTTTGCTCTTCTGCAGTCTTGTCTCACAGAGGGGACAGTCTGGTCTGAGGAGAAAGATCCCGGCAGGAGGCCTGGTATAAGAGGGCTGTGGGCCTGGAAATGGTAACTAGTTAAGCGAACTAGGTAGTCGCGTTAGATTTGGTTATTTTTGCCTTTAAACACGGTTATATCTCTTAAAGCGCCTTGTCTTGTTTTCCTTGCCCCAGTACTGTGTTAATAATCCATTTGTTTAAGTGTTCTCTGCCTGGTCATCACGCCTACGTTCTCGGCTTTAAAAGGGGGCATTTTGGATGGGCTTGGGAAGGTACCCTGGGCCTTCCCAAGGGACCCGAAGTCCAGAGTGGTGGCAGCAGAAGGTGGCGACCCCCTGGGGGTCATGACAGGAGCGTTTGCTGTTCTCAACTAAACCACGGTTATTATCTGGGTCCCTCTTCTCCCCCTCCCCCAGGGACGTCGCCTGGCTCGGAGACTGTGACGAAGGCTGCCTGGCGTTGGCTGAGCTCCTAGGATGGAAGGTATGTGTCACGTGAAAGGGGTATAGTGGAGGCCAGTGCTCCCTCTAAGCTGAGTCAGTGTGAGCGAGCTCACAGTTTTTTAGCCTCCAGCTCACACATTTTGGTCTTAGCTCAGGAAGGACGGCTCCAGCGCAAAATAATTTATGCGGCAGCCAAATCGCTCGCTCACAACTTTAATGCCAGCAGCTCACAAAGTAGAATTCTTGCTCACAGGACTCCACAGCTTAGAGGGAACATTGGTGGAGGCACAGCCTGGCTGGGCTCCAACTGGTAAAAACAAGTGGGGTGGGTGGGGGGTCTTTCTAGGCTCCCTCTGGTATCCACGAGGTGCCTTGCCCTCCTTGGCTGAGCGACGGCTCCATATCCCACCTACCTTTTCTTCCTTCCCTTCAGAAAGAGCTGGAGAAACTGGTGAGGGAGGAGCACGCGGCCATAGACGCCAAATCAGGCCAGGCTGTCGGAGACGGGGCAAGCGCCTGCAGCGCTCCGGCGAAGGAAGCGAAGCGGCCACCGTCCCCGAAGAAGAAATGCGAAGAGAAGTAAAGAGGAGAGTGAGACTGTTGATCCAGATGCATTAAACGTTGAAGCCAGCCGGCCACCAGCTGAATGAACCTTTTTCGCCTCCTTTAAGCTTCCTGCGGGAACTCGCCCTCCTGGGGGGGGCCTATGGAGACGGAGTTTCCTGGGCGGTGCCGCAGGGGGAGATGCAAGAGCGCAGTGGGTCCCAGGATGGGGATAGAAGTGAGAACGATACAGATCCTGCTTTGCCGTGTTTTCTCTCTGCTGACTTTTGGGGAGTGTTTGCTTTTGAAGCCCCACGTTTCTAGAATTCTGGGTGAGAAGTCGGATTCTCTGATTAGCAATATGATCATCGGGGGGGACGGGGACGCTTTATTCCGAGTCTGTACCCTAATCCGGTTTCCGTGATTTAATCCCCTCCCTGCTTCTTGTGGAGGAAGGAAGTTTTAACCAATTGGGTGAGGATTATTCTTCACAGGGCCTTCTTCCTGGCTGGGATCTGGGAGGCCCGGGTTCAGATCCCCCCACTCGTGCCACGGAAGCTCGCTGGGGTGACCTTGGGCCAGTCACACCCTCTCAGCCTAGCCGACCTCGCAGGTTCGTTGTGAGGATGAAACGGAGAAGAGGAGAAGGATGTAAGCTGCTTTGGGGGCCCCACTGGGGAGGAAGGCAGGTTATGAATAAAGCAAATCAAACTTCTCCGGCCGAGGAAGGGAAGCTGCGAAAAGTGGCCGGAAGGGCATCACTAACCGACCCTTTTGATTTCTCGGAATGTAGCGGATTTTTGACAGCGTCCAAAGCTTTCTCTTGTCACTCGCATTAAGCTGTCATAAATGGCAATTAAACTCAAGCACCTTGATACCCAACGAGGATTCGGTCTGTCTTTCCCTGCATGGGGCTGTGCTCCCGCCCGTGTTGTCTCTGTGCATGCAGGCCTGGTCTCCTTTGCAGAGGGCTGTTTGGCAAGCAGCAGGCAGAATCACAGAGCCACAGAATCACCGAGTTGGAAGGGTCCCTCCAGGCCATCTAGTCCAACCCCCCCTGCTCAATCCTTGACAAGCGTTTGGCCAGGTGCGGCTTCAAGACTGCCAGGGAGGGGGAGCTCACCACCTCCCTAGTAGGCAGCTGATCCCACTGTTACTCGTATTGTAAAAAAGCGAGAGTAGCTCACAAATATCAACCGGTCCATTAAACCAGACAATTAAAACAGAGCCCTAAAACTGTCAGTCCTCAGCAGGTCTCTCGACAGCTGTCCTGTCGCTGCCCTCTAGCTGCAGGGCCAGTTGTTCAGGTGACCACTGGCGTGCCGAAACTGTCCTGATGTCTAGTGGACTGAGTTGACCCGGATGACCCAGGCGAGCCCGATCTCGTCAGGTCACGGAAGCTAAGCCGAGTCAGCCCTGGTTGGTACTTGGATGGGAGGCCGCCAAGGAAGTCCAGGGTTGCTCCACAGAGCCAGGCAATGGCAAGCCACCTTTAATCACCTCTCGCCTTGAAAACCCCATGGGGGTTGCCATGAGTTGCCGTGACTTGACGGCCTTTTCCACCCCCGGTGGATTGAGTGACTGCGTTTTTCCGAACCTGAAACCAGCTTTACCGTTGGAACGAAGCTGGGTGCTGGCAGAGATCACGCCGCTGGGGGCTTCTTCAGGCCTCGTCATGTGCCTCAAGAAACCCTTTCTGGTTTGTATCCTTCTGCGCATCGTTGTCCTTATGCCAGAGGGTGGCAGTGTCTTACCGGTGTGAGGATCTTACACAGAAGGCTGAAGCAACTGAACTTCTGGTGTTTGCAGTGCAGTCCTGAACAGGTCTGCTCCGAATCTTACTGTGATCGACTCACTGGTTTTTTGTTGTTCAGTCGCACAGTCGAGTCCGACTCTTCGCGACCCCATGGACCAGATCCCGCCAGGCCTTCCTGTCTTCCGCCGTCCTCTGAAGTTGGCTCAATTTTATGTTCGTTGCATCTATGACAGTGTCTAACCATCTCATCCTTTGCCGGTCCCTGTCTTCTTTGACCTTCAATCTTACTTGACCCCAAAAAGGTGTTCTTAAGACTGCATAGACCAGGGGTGTCGAACTCATTTGTTATGAGGGCCGGATCGGACATAAATGAGACCTTGTTGGGCCGGGCCACGTGTGTTATAAAATGTAATGCCAGGTAGTGGAGATATAAACTTTATAAAGGACACAAAACACAAAGCGTTTTTTTAACTTAAAATAAAAACATGCTTAAAATATTAGCTCTGTAAGCTGGAAACCTACTTTTGATTTATTGACATTCGTCACAGAAATCTCATGGCCAGGGCTCTGAGTCTAGGACCCAGGTGAAAACGTGAAATGGCCGAATGATTAAGGAAGTCTGGCGAAGCAAGCGATGATGCAGCAGAACTGGAAGCAAGAGATGGCCGGTTCCACTGTGGGCCTAATAGAAGCCCTCTGGGGGCCTGATCCGCCCCCCGGGCTGCATGTTTGTCACCCCTGGTGTAGACCCTGTGTTTTAGCCCCTAAATGTCAGGTCATGAGGAGTTCACACACCCTGTCTGCTGTGGTTCCTGGAAACATAACTTGCTTTCTTTTCTCCCCTCTTCTTGACATTTTCAAACAGCATTGGTAGTGTGGAGATGGGGGGGATGTTTAACCTTCAGGTGTACATATGTAGAAAAGCCACAACAGCCTTGGAAAAGGCTGCCTTGTGTGTTTCGTCAGGCATGTCTTTGAGATCAACTTGAGCTGAGAGCTCACATATTTATGTCCCGTTTTGATACCTCCGTGACTGCTCCTGCATTCTGTGCTCCATGGTGGGATTGTGGGTTCTAAACCCCTCCTGGCAAATCCCACCCATGTCGCAACTCTGATTTTCAAATTCATAAGAACATAAGAGACGCCAATGTTGGATCAGGCCAAAGGCCCATCCAGTCCCAACACTCTGTGTCACACAGTGGCCAGAAATACCAGGTGCCATCAGGAGGTCCACCAGTGGGGCCAGGACATTAGAAGCCCTCCCACTGTTGACCCCCCTAAGCAC